AGACTGCAATAAGGTCTCCCTGGAGCTCTTCTCCAGGCTGAGCAAACCCAACTGTCTCAGCCTGCCCTCCCTGGGGAGGTGCTCCAGCCCCCTGAGCATCTTCACAGCTCTCCTCTGAACTTGCTCCAACAGCTCCAAGTCTTCCTTATGCTGGGGACCCCAGAGCTGGACACAGCACTGCAGGTGGGGGGGTCTCACCAGAGCAGAGCAGAAGGGTAGAATCCCCTCCCTTGCCCTGCTGACCACACTCCTTTTGATGCAGCCCAGGATGCCATTGGCCTGATGGGCTGAGCACACATGTTGCTGGCTCATATTAAGTTTTTTATCCACCAATAGCCTCAAGACCTTCTCCACAGAGCTGCTCTCAATCCACTCATCCCCCAGCCACTATTTGTGCTTGGGATTACCCTGACCCAGGTGTAGGACCTTGCACTTGGCCTAATACTCCTGCATCTAATTGCTAATTAGCACCTTCACTAGAGCTGGGGGGGTTAAGAGACTCAGAAAAGACTTGAGTGCTTCAGAAAGTCTTATAGGATGTGGGGCAGATCAGCTACAGTCTGAAGACACATTTTGTCTCAAGGTAGGGGAGAGACCTTGTGAAAGATATGCAACGGAAAACAGGTCTTCCCACTCCAAAGGAGTGCAAAGTCCTTGGTGAAGTCTGGTGTAGTGTATAGATACACAGATATTTTTTATTTAAAGGGGTCTTGTGCTTACTAAATGATATGTTGATGGAGGAACTCTGTGTGGGCTCTTCATGATGATTTCTTGGTGAGGCAGAAGAACAAGAACCAGCACTGAAGCACAATATGCAGTTGTTTCTTGATGGGTGCAGCACCCACCAGTGCTGGCCCTCCTCACCAGGGGCTCCTGCCAGGCCATGGGAGATCCTCCAAGCTCAGATTCAGAGCCTGTCTGAGTCCCTGCTTCACAGTCACAGCCCAGATACACTCTCACCCTGCTAGCCCTCAAAAGAGAAGTCCAGGTCCTCCTGCTCCCTGCTCTCCCACGAATAACCAGGGCCCCAGTGCTTCCCAGCAGGTCCCACCCAGCCAGAGAGACAGGCAGAAAGCAGGAGCCTGTCTTCTCCCTCTGCCTGTTAACTTGCAGAGTCCTGTTTTCTCCTCACAGTCACACACACCTCTTGAGCAGCTGGGAGGCTGTGCCAGCACCAGAGGGATAAGATGGAGGAGGAGTTTGGGAGAAAAAAACAAAAGAAACCCATCCCCACTTAAAGATTTACTCAGTGCAGAAGGTCTGTGCATTTCAGAGTAGAAGTTAATGGAGTTGTGAGGATTTTAGCAGCCAAGAACATGCCCTCCAGCATCCATTTCCTATTCCCCAGTCATGTCTGGTAACGAGCTGGAAGTTCTGCATCTTAATTCACTCTTTTTGCTTCATGGTAGGGATTGTGTTTTGGAGCAGTCTATTCTGGTTTGGTTAGAGGGGGAGGTCTCCTAATTAGTTGCTGTAATTGCTGTGTAATTTTGCTGGGATCTAGACGTGCTGAGCTGGGATACAGGATACACACCAGCAAAGCACTGCCTTCCTGTGAAGTGTTGCTATGATTGGCACAAAGGTGTAAATTTGTCTCATGCCTGAGCTAATATTCAGGTGTGTAGTGAGCCAGATCCTGCTGTAAGATACATTTTCTGCAGCCTCACCCCCATAACTGGTCTGGTCTAAGTCAAAGCAGTGCTCCCAGCATGGGAAACAGGAGACATGATGAAGTCTGCTCTGGAATCTCCCTACCAGTTGGTGGATGCAATAACAAATACTCTGAGACTAACTGGAGGTTCAGAGCTTCCAAGCTCCATCTAAACAGGGTCCAAACAAACAGTTCTCAGCCAAATCGATTCCTGGTGCAACTAATAAGGCTGGAGGAACCACAAGCAGGATGATTTTGGTCCCACACAATATGTCAATGGCCAATCTCTCAACATTCCTGGCTATAAGTGTCTTTAAAAATGATGTTCCCTTTACAGTACTAAATTCTGAACTGCCAAAGGTGGCAGCCAATGAGCTCTTCCAAACTAAATGCTGTGGGGATTATGCATCAACACTGAAGTCTCTTAATCAGCCTCTTGGTGGAAATTAATTGATCCATTACAGACAATAACTATTTGCTGAAGTTTTTATCCTGCCTTTTTTATTTCTGTAAGTAGCATATGTGATTTCATTGGCTGGCTATTTTAAACCAAAGGGGACCATTGGTGGAACAGCACAAATCCCTCTGAAATCTAAAACTGCCAGCTGCAATTATAGCCTGCATCTAGCATCTTCTCTGAGGACTATAAATGCTTCACACTACTTCAGTTTTGCTTGGCATCTGCATCACTGTGTGACAATTACTGAGCAATGGCAAAGGATGGATTCAGTAATGAAGTCTGGGCAGTAAAGAAATCCTGTCCAAATGGAAATATTTTCTCTATTTCAATCTAATATTCATCAGTCTGTGCACAGAGATACACCACATTTAGACACAAGGCACTGGTAAGACAGGTGCCTGCCTTTTGCTGCTGCAATGTCTGTGGCTTTTTGCATATTAGGGATGAAGAAAGTTGTTTTCTCCTATTTTGTGCTTGTTTTTAACTACTCAAAAGGATGAGATACTAAGTAGTAAGTACTAATAAATTAAAAGGTCAGACTGGCAACTATATTACTCCAAATAAGGCTTGTGAAATTCTACCAATTTCAGTGATGTTACACTGGGATAAAACAGGAATGAAACAGCAGTGGCTCAGCTATTTTTTTGAGCTCATATCTACACAGTTTGAATGATTTGAACTATTTGTGACTGCTATATTAGAAGATGAGATCAAGCATTATACCTCAGACTGAATGAGAAATGCAATCTGGGAAACAGCTGCTGACAGTGTGAGAATTTAGGGCTTACACAGTGTGTGGGTTTGGCTGGGCTAGAGTTCATTTTCTTGACAGTAGCTGGTGTGGGGCTGTGGGTTGGATTTGTGCTGGCAGCAGTGTTGGTAACCCAGGGGTGGTTTAGCTGGTGCTGAGCAGCCCTCACACACAGCCAAGGCCTCTTCTGCTCCTCACACCTCCCACCAGCCAGCAGGCTGGGGGCACAAGGAGCTGGGAGGGGACACAGCTGGGACAGGTGACCCCAGCTGACCAAAGGGATGTCCCAGACCATATGATGTCATGCCCAGCATACACAGCTGGGGGAAGAAGGAAAGGGACATCTGGAGTGATGATGCTTGTCTTGCCCAGTCACCATTCCACGTGATGGATCCTGTGTTTCCTGGAGGTGGCTGAACAGCTGCAGGCCAATGGGAAGTGGGGAGGGAATTTCTTGGTGTGCTTTGCCTGTGGGTGTGGCTTTTACTTCACCCATTACACTGCCTTTATCTCAGCCCACAGATTTTCTCACTGTTACTCTTTGACTCTCCCCAAGCCCACTGGAGGGGCTGTGTGGGGCTCAGCTGCCAGCTGGGGTTAAACACCAACACACAGGAGGGGTTCTGGGGATCACCCAAATTAGTTTCCCCTTGTTAAAAAGGGATTTGCTGAAGAAACATCCTTTAATGGAGAGGTTTTGGAGAAGTGAGATATAAAATATTTATGATAAAAACCACCTGGGGCACAGTGAGCTGTGCAGAGCCATTGCTTGTAAATGACACAATTTACCTTCAGCAGACAGAGCTGCAAAACTTTGGAGAGACCCAAGTAATCCAGGCAAACAGGCAACACCGTGGAAATGCTTTCCCTGTCATTGCAAGGTCAAGCACTGCACAGTAAATACACTCAGAGACAAAAATGTCCACTCCTCACATGCTTCAAAAGGGTTCAAAATGAATCATATAAGCACCAGGACCTTGCTTTTTGGGACCCAGAGTTCCATGTGCAGCTTCAGTCCAGCAAGGTATGAGGCTGAATAAAGACTGGACTGAAAAATCACAGTACCAGCAACAGTGCAGCACTATCTTGAATACTTTGGGCATTACTGCAGAGACCCTTCAACAAGAATACTGAGGAATTAGAGAGGACTTGGAGTAGGCTAAGCATGATCCAGCACAAAGACTTTCAAAGACAGACTGGAAAGATGTTGTTAGTTTATTCCAAAGAGCTGATAAACGAGGCCATGAAGAAATACAGCAGATAAAATGCTGAAAGTGGTATTTACCAGGAGCTCCTACTCCTCCTGTCTCCACAACATGGTAGTGGTGTGCCCCCCTTCTCCTCCCCACGAAAAGAAGAGAACCCACCAGAAAATTCCCAGCAACTGGCTGGTCTCTTCTCCTTGTGGATTTTGCAGAGTCACAAACTGGAGGACAACCAACCTACCAGCTCTGCATACTACCAAGGTTCTAATATAACAGTATTTAAAATGGTTACAAAAATTATGCCTGGAGCATTGGTGGTTCTTAGACATTTCTACCTGACATCAGTGTACTAATTCTTGACAGAAATCTTCTACATTTAATGGGCACCCCTCTATACCCCATGTAATACAGAAAACCACAACAGCTGGTGAGTGACACTGTTACAGAAGACAGTGGCTAGGAAAGGTAAATCTGCCCAACCAGACCCAGTCAAAGCAGGTACTGAATGATGTAAGTATTTTAGATCAGGAAAAGACTCAGCTACTCCCAGGAGATGCAGTCAGAAAACAAAGTTATACCTCAGCCCTTTGGCCAAACCAAGAGCTTATCCAATGGCACATGCAGCTACAGTTCAATATGTTATCAAAGTGAACATTTCCCAACAGTGCACAGAGAAAAACAGTGCCACACAGTTCATACTGATACCTCACACAACCCAAGATCCCACAGGATATGCCAGGAACATGAAATGGGGCATTGTATGGGAGGTTACACTGCAACAGGAATCATGTCTAGAGTCTTTTTCATCTCCCATGGCTTTTCTGCTTGAACACTGTAAACAAACAGATCTCAGATGTTTACAGACTAAGGATAAAAACTGCATCCCACCATGTGTTCCCATAAGCAAGAGTTAGAAAAATGTTTGTTTCCTACCTTGTTAACTTTGTCCCAATCTGCTGCCTAAGTTCCAGCCTCTCTTCATCAGTCTGCATGGGGAGGATGTTCTTTTCCTCCAGCTCTCTCTTGGAAGGCCTGTTGCTTAGTTTGATTGCTAAAGAGTCCTTCCTGCAGACTTTCATTGCCAGGGAGCCTGTAGGAAAGCAGAGAAGGCTCTGCCAAGGAGGTGTCACCATTTCATTACAGCATGGACCAGCCAAGGGAGGATACGAGGCTCTCATTTACATTGGTAGGGGTGGTGGGAAGAGGGGTATCAATTAACTTCATGTGCTCAATCAACCTCAGCCCATGTCATAAGAAGGAAAAGTTGAATTTGGTAGATATACAGGAAAAAGAAATCAAAATATTGCTCCACAGAGGGGAGCAGAGAAGAAGGGCTGGTTTTGGAATTGCTAGTAGCATCTGTAGCTTTCTCTAGCACAGTGTATCTGAACCACGTAACAGGATGAATAATTCAGCCTCAGAATCTGGGCAGGCAGCAGAGCTACAGCATGTGGAAAGAGAGACACAAGCAGACACAAACCCAGGAGAGGCTTTGGGCTTGGCAGGAGACTGTGAGACAGAGCAGTTCTGCTCTGTTTCTTAGTTTAAGAGCAAAGACTGCTTAATTTCATTTGCAGGGTAAGGAAGGATTCTGAGGAGATGAAATATGCCTGGTTTAGAATTTTACTGTGTGTTTTAACAAGGGTGGTGTTTGGTTTTACTGCTCCCAGTCTGCAGAAGAAAAGAAATCCAAGGGCCTGAAGCTTCAGCTCGACCTGGAGGATGACAAGCAGCTGTCATACACAATGTACTGCAGCTTGTCTTCATGGGAGAGTCCTATGATGTCACACTGAGGCAGGGTCTTCTCTGAGAGGTCAGGAAGGGGCCACAGGTCCCTCTCCAGACTGTAATTGTGATGTTGGTATCAATTAATCTCTGCTTATCTGAGCTCAATTCTCTAATTGTGATCCCTTTCAAAGTAGGTGCAGACTCACAATTCTGACATGATTTAATACTTGCTATGTACAAAAGCTCTGACTCTCTATCAGTGGCACTTATTTCATCCTCCTGAAGTACCTCTATTAAGCAGAGCTTGACTGAAGCCAAAGGCAAAGCCTCTCTACAGCACAGACACTTGGGAAAGTGAATCCAAAAGTCAGTTTTTGAAGTGAAATAATATAAGCCAAAACTAGTCATTTGAATTCTGTCTGAGAGCTACCCAGACAGGGATTCATGTGGATTAGGGAAATCACTATGAATTCATACTATGTTATTTTGGATTAATTTACCAGGCATCCTCATGTAGTCAAGCCTGAAGAGATGGCAAAGCCACAGTCAAGAAAGAAAATTCACCGGCCTTGTGTTTCTCTTGTGTATTCAAAGTTCAGAGTGAAAATTAAATAGATGAGAAAGGAAAAATGGAATGAGTCTTACTTGTAAATAATGAGTTATCCTCATCTTCATCTTCCTCTTCCTCTTCCTCCTGTCTTGTGTAGAGGCAGGAAGAATCTTCATAGTCTGTTTCATGAGGCACATTTTCTTTATTGTCATCGCATTCGATCACAACAGTTGGCACTTGTCTCATGTCTGGAAGGCCCCCGGGTCCTGTTTTTGCAACACTGTCACCTGTATGTAAACCAGAGCTGCAGGGGAAGAAAAACAAAGACATAAACTAAAGGAAACAGCTCAATGGAAGACTGAGTTGCTTCTCTCACTGTAAAGTTGTGGTGTTTCATCCCTTTTTGAGAAGAAAGGAGGATAGAAAGATCTTCATGACCAGCAAGACATCTGAGGTTTAAACTGAGTACACTTTAGATTTAAGGTACAGCACTTGTCAGAGAGGCAGGACAGCAGGCAGGCAGGATTACTGGCAGCCAGGACCAAGCACTGCAGATCTGTGGCAAATACAGTCTCAAGGCTTAGAGAGAATTGCACCAGCTACTCCAAAGGATAAGCAGATCTTCAGCCTGGTGTCTGTGGGACCTCTCCATGGGCGTGCAGGCAGGAAGGAGAACATGTCTCACCTGAATGGAAAAGGTGGAGTACAGGAGTGGGAGAAAGAAAAGGTACAGGCTGTAGGAAGGCAGAGGGGAACCATGACCTCCACTGCCTGGACAAGATGTTGACTGACCTGAGGGGAAGGCAAGGGCATAACTCTGAAGCACAGAGGACTGAGCTTGTGAAACTGGGATGGAAAAAAAGAGACTTTGGGAGCTGGTGAGAGTAACATGGCAGGGAGCTAAAAGCTGGGAGGTTTGTTTGCTGATGGCACATTCCTGTGTTGTCAGGGCTGTGGTGACAATATCTCTGCTCCTGTGCTGGCTCCTTACTCCAGCCAGGTGCTGGAGATCAACCTGAATTGGAGCTAACATCATCTTTTTTTTTGTCATATGAAGTGTGACTGATCATTTCCTGCACCTTCCTAGGATAAGGCCTGTGGTCAGTCCTGCCACCACCTAGCCCAGCTTATGTGCTCATTTCAAAGCCCTTTTCCAAGGAATCAGGAATACAAGTAAGGAACCAGGAACATAAGGAGGTGAAGATCAAAGCCAAACAACAGGTGAAAGGGAAAGTCAGGCATAGAACCACCTTTCCCAGCCCATTTTTCTCTATTACCTCTTGTTCCCCTTCCAGTGTGAAAGGAGAATGAGAGACTGGAAGACTAAAAGGATGGCTGCTCAGTTCTGTTGGTGAGTGAGCAGAAACTGCCCTTCCTCTTAAATCCTAGCTGAGGGAACAGCCATATGAAAGGTGGGGAACACTCCCTGCTGGACATCTTCTTTATGTCAAACACCCACTTCCCAGAAGAACATAGGTGTGAAACCAGACATGCTGGCCAAGCTGAACTTGAGGCACACAAATTTGGGTCTGACCTTACCGAGTGCTGAGTAGCCTCAATTCCCCTGAATATTTCAGCCTGCTCAGAATCCTACAGGTATTCTACACCTTGAAAAAATGTTGTATTCTCTTTAAATGATTTTCTACTGAGTTGACCTGAAATATTTCTCTTTCTTCTAACCTTAATGTGGACTCTTAAATGGCTGCCAGGTAACATCCCAGAAAGACTTTTAAAAACCTCTTTCTGGGTATATAATGCTAGTCCACAATGTGCTCAGGGATTAAGGAGAAGAAAAGGCTTCAGATCCCGTGAGTAAGTGATACCATGCTGTTACTATCATCTTCAGCTTCAAAAAAGTCATTTTGTTAACTATTGTTATTATTGCAGACTAACCAACAATGAGAGGCAGTGGCTTTACTGGGTGTCTTGAAGAGAGGAACTTCATTTTCTTAGCAATAGTTGACATTTTGTACCACATAGGAGGAAAGTTTCATGAGGAACTGGGTTGTGAATTTTTATTAGACTTCAATGAGTTTGACCCAAAAAAACTCCCAGAAGTAGTTTTAAAATTCACCAGCTGAATTCTCCTAAAGCCACACAAATGTACTGCAGTCTTTAAAAACTTTCAACTAACTTTTAATTTATTAATATGCTTTAATAATTTGTCAAACTTAGTTTTAAAAATCTGTTTTCTCTGTAATCTATTTTTTGTCTACCTCTGTTGAAGAGGAAAAGTAGGAAATTCAAAAGCCTGGAATTAAATTTCCAAGTGAAAAAAAAGTATCTCAGCATCCAGGCCCATTTGGTGCTTCCCTGTTCTGTGAAGGGTGTATGTAGGTCACAGATTCATCCTCATGGGCACGCACACAGGGTAGCAGCTATCAATTTATAACCCATTGAGGTTACCAAGCAGGTATTGGCTGGCAACTAGACTTACAAATGACCAAGGAGGATCTTTATTGGAACTAGTGATCTAGAAATAGGCAGCTTCTCATCTCACTGTAAGTTTTCTGAATCAGCCACTTTCTTGATAACACCACTTTCTATTTTAAGCCTTTCATTTTTCCTGGTGTTTTGTGCTCTTCTTGATTAAAATCAGCCTTTTCCACAGCATTTTGACTAAGTCAGCTGTCTAAGCAAAGCACTTATGAAATCCATGCAGTACTGCAGTATACTTCAGAAGGACATTCAAGGTCACTGGCTGTTTCCACTGTGTATAAATTCCTCCAGGTCATGAGCCAAACCCCACATGGTCAGGTGGCCTACACCACCAAATTTTTTAGCATTATTTACCAAAAAGCACATTATTGTTTCAAACACTCCAGCTTAAATCTGCTTTGGTTTTGGCTACAAAATTAGAGAACAAAGCCACAGCTAAGCAAGTACTTGTTTCAAGAAGATAAATGTGTCTTAACACATCGATGTGAATAATTCATAGCTGACTAGTACAAGCACTTGCAATTGCTGTTGTGTCATCTTTATGTGATCAAAACAGCAAAAAAGCTACACCACTATAGTTTACAGTGTTTCTAGTGAGAAAATATTTAATGAAAAATTAGAATTGAAGCATATGAGTGACTCATGGTACAGACCAAATCCAAAAAGAAGAAAGTGAAATCCCTCCTGTAAAATCTAGTGGGGAAAAAAAACCTGCACACTTCTCTTCTGTCATCCCAGGCTCTTTGATAATGGAATAAAGTTACATTTTTATCAGCATGTTTTCAGACCCACAGTACACTCTTCTGTACTTATCAGTTAAAACAAAAATCTAAAAAAACTTCAAACCATTGTACATGAGTTTCTACACTACAGGCATATGTGTGAGAGACAGAGAAAGTTGGCAGAGCTATAAATATTAAGTGTTTCTACCCTTAGGCAACACTAAAGTTTAGACAAAAAGCAATTCTCTTGGCAAGTTTTATGGAAGATAAATGTTTTCTGACTCAAATATGTTATATAAGATTTACAAGACACTAGCAGGAAATTATTTCATAAATCTACACTCTGAAGCTGAACTGGGTGTCCCAGAAGAACTGGTCTCACACATTGTCTTTTTGGACAGAGTGATTTTTCACTGCTCTGCCACAGCAGCAGTTCTAGCCCAGAGTGAGATGTTGCTATTTAACTGCTCTTTAGCACATACCTTGAACAAACAGAGGCCTTCATTCAGTTGCTAGTGTGCAAGAGTCCACAGAATAACTGAAATTAATTGTCATCTTACCAGACAGACTGGGGACTAGATGGGCAAGGCAGAAAATAAGGCTATTTCAGATCAAGCAGCTGCCTCCCCGAAACAAAATTAAAGATGAATTCTAGTGGCACATAAGAGGGTTTCTAAAGCTTCTTTGGCTGCTGTTTGACACGTGGCTTTTGGGCATGGTCTTTCTTCTCAAATTAATTTCAGTCAGGAGGATGAAACCTTCTGCAGATTTTGGTGGCAGGGCTTCTCAGATTTTCACCAACTCTTAAAATGCATTCTGAAACAGCATAAAACAGTGGCCAAATGTAGAGTTTTGCTTATGTTTGATACATACCCTTTGGGCTGAAGGGGAAAGTTGTTTGCAGCAGGGCACAAACTGGCAACAGAGGTTGCAGAAAAAAGGTTACGTGAAAATTACACCCTTCTCTGTTTTAACTTAACCTATCCTAAAGCTGGTAATTTATCATGGAAAACAGAGGCAAACTGGCAGCACAAATGACATGCCATAATAGTCACACTGTGACAAGGGACAGATTGCCCTTCTGAGAATAGGTCATGAATAGATGTTACGAGTATTAGAAAACATTACAATCAAAAGCATTAAGTGTGCAAATGAACTTAATGTTCTATAATGTCTGTAATAAAACTGAATAAAAAAAAAATCCAGGAATTAACTGCCATTTTAAGACATAAGAACAACTGGGACTTGAGTAGCCATTACATGCTTTTAATGCAGACTAACTTATTAATATGCCTAGGTCAGGCAGTAAGATGTAACCACTCCTGCAGAGGGAAAAACAGAGAAGCTCAGTGGCTTTCTCAAGGTCAAAGACAGTAAAAGAACTTCTGGCTTCCAAGGATACCTCATTTTTTTTTCTGGCGAGCTTGTGGCTCATTTGCAAAGCCCTGATTTCAAGTATCAGTTTGCAGATGTTGGACCTCATCTGTGAAAGAAAAAAATCCAGACTGCTAGAAGAAGAGGATGCTTTAGTCTTTCATTCTTTGCCCCTGTCCACACGCACAGTCCTGGTGAAGAGACGAGTTGTGAGCTGTAAGAAAACTTTACTGGGAAAAATGTGGAATTGATACAAACTGGTTAAGAACTCAGTGAATATCAGTGGAGTTTAACAGACTTGAGGAACTTCCACTGCACCAGCACCAAAGAAACTGGTCCTGGAAAGAAAAACAGAATTCCTGAAGGAAAAAAGAAAAAAATTAAGAGCAGAAAACTCATGTGCACACATCTACATGATCCTCCCTTATTAAAAACAAAATATTATTCTAAATCAAAACCACTATGCTAACTAATCCCCCAAATTACCAGACTTGGCAGCTTTATTACTGCAGCATGATGGCAATTACTGTATAAAGTTATAGGATTCTTTTGAGATAAAGCCTGAGATCAGCAAAAAAAAGAAACGCTGTCAATGAATTTAGCATTCCCCAGCAGGTGCCTCAGAGACTTGCCAGGCTCTCTCAACTCCTCAAGATTATTGACCCAACAGTAGTGACCCCCCTACATGGTTATCTTGGAAGGAACAGCAAAGCTCATGATGTCCTTTGGGCTTAATCCAGGTTTTCTAGAATTAAGGGAAAAGAACTACTGTCAAAACCCCCCCAAAACAGTGGCATTTTGTGTGAATAATCCTCTCCCTAGTTAAATACATGTATTTTTAAAAAGTTGTTTTTTCTTTAAGAAAAGCCAGTAAATTTACTAAGATTACAATGTGGCTTGAAAAAAACATTTAAGAAATTGAAGAATTTAACAGCAAGCATCAACTCCACCAACCTGGAAATATTTTGGAATATTTTTACCTCTAAATACTACAATGATAAGAATTGCTTTTGCAGAGGAAACACTCATCACCTATTTTCTCTCTTGTGAATGCAAACATTACTGATTTGTTTTGACAAAGAGAATAACTTAAGTACTCAACACTTTATTTCATGATTGAAATAATAGTTAATCAATGGAAAAAGCCTATGAAGAATCAACTGTCTGCAATACCATGAACTCGGATTGATTTTCATTTTCAATGTGAAATATCAGTGCCACAACCTCTTCTGATTTTCTTCTGCAAAGGGAGGCAACTGCTTCTTCTTGGGAAAGGAATCTTTATTCATTTGTTATTCAATTACTGACAAACAGCAGAGCTTCAGCTTCAACTTAACAGTTAAAACCTCTGTGCTTGGTGCATCAGGCTTTGGGGTGATGCAGATGATCTGACCAGCCCTGCCAGCAAAGTGAGAAGCACTCACCGTGCACAGAGGGGAATGTGGCACAAAGAGGCACTGGGGCCAATCATCAGGTATTTTATCTGTTAGACCAAATATTTTAGCTTCCTGTCTAACAGAAGGATGGTCTGATGCTTCTAGAACAAGCTGGCTACAAAGCCACCCTCGGTACTAAATAGAACATGTCATTTTTTTGGATTACTTTCCCTATTCTGGGACTTGCTCAATTTTCCTCTGCAGGATGAAAGAAATTTTCCAAAACTTGCTGATCCTGCAGCCTATGAGGACAGACTTGATTTATGCAACATGCTTCACTTATTCAGACTATGTGGAGCAGCATTCAGAGACACTTACAAGTGACAGTGACAAAAAAACAGCCCCAAGGTGGGTTAGGTCCTTCTGACCAAACGTACAACCTTCCTCCAGATGCAAATGGCTGAGAAGGCAGCTGCTGTGGAATGGGTTAAACACTTATTTTAAGATCAAACATATAATTTCACTTAATCCAACTAAAATAATTTAAACAGTGTATTAAAACTACTCCGAGTGACTCGCAGGAAGTCCTCAGAGGTCATTTTGAGCTAACTGGTAATACCCATCAGATGCTCTGGCTGAGTGGCACAATTGGTATTTATTCCTCTTTTCTGCATCTTCCACTTCCCTTCCTGGCTTCTGGAAACCCTTCACAGAACTGGAACTCAGCAGTCACACACTCTGCAGTATGTCCTGTAAGCCAGGCATGTCCTACTAACATCTTCTCCACTGGTTGTATAGGACAACAGGGCTCAGGAAATTTGGTCTTTTTCTCCTTTCTGCCACAGACTTGTCAGAAAAGCTTGGAAAGGCTCTTCCCCTGGCTCCATTTCTCCAGCAGTGACTCTGCCCTGAGGCTGTTACACCCCAGAGGAGAAGCCTCCTTTGAGTACCATCAACATAACTCAAAGTGGTGACCCTGATACTGAAGTCAG